TAAGGGTAGAACAACCAGCTCCACTGTCTTAAGTTGTATATTTAGAGTGATGCATGTTTGTTCAGCATTTGCAGGACCCCAATCTACATAAGTTGATATGATTTTTTTGAGAGTGCAGGAGGGATAAATACATCAAGGAAGGTGTTCTGCTTCTTTTCAAAGAGCAGCATTTCATACCTTGGCTGGTTTATATCCACACAAAACAACAGCAAGGCTTCCTACCTAAAACTGAGTGCTCACAAGTATTTAGCCTGAGGTTTGAGATGTTGCATCCAATAATCCACCTTCTCTGAAAATCCTCCACTATGATATTACGGTTTTGCTCCCTAAGCAACATGTACACAAAACATCTAAACTGAACAGGCTCCAGTAAATTGAAAACTAACAAACCAATTTCAAAGACATTGGTCTGAGCTGGTCTCCTACACCTCACACACCTCTAGTCAACAACATCCATCTGAAACTTTTTAGATTCACCTCCTGATCAACAGCAAAAGTTCTCCTGAAAAACGGCTTGAGGTTTTTTACAGCTACCAGTATTGCCCATTTCCTAATGCAAAAACTACACCTGTCCTAGCTAAATATATTCAATCAGTCCTAATTTGTACTGACAGAAGAATGTGTTGTCAAGCTGCAATGAGAATAATGTGTCTCCTCCTGTTCACCACAGAGTAACCACTGAGAAAAATTTCGAAATAGACAACATTTTTTTCCCCTACTTTTTATGCATATGATACAAACATGTATCAGCTGTGCTAGAAATTGAAACAATCTTTTAGACATGCTGGATTGTTTCTCATTAGCATATCCTCATGCCAGTAATCAAAATCAATCAACTCAAATCAAATTAGTTCTCCATGTGTTCGGTTAAAATGCATACCATATGCTGGCTGAAATGTATACCAAAGCAAGACTGTGCAGCTGTAGGAAGCTTCTTTCTGCAGTTCCATTTCACAGCAATATTAGGACAATTTCCATTAAAACACCAACATTTAACTGTTTTCAACCTGCCTTGTGTAGCTCCAAAGGAGCAATTAACTGACTTGTTGAAATTAGTCACTAGTGATGCATCACAATACCTGCTGTCTCTGTGGGGTTCAATCACAGGTTAAAGGAAGAGCTTAGTCTCTGATCAAACAGGACCTCTGAGAAATCACAATTCACCAGGCATACCCAGAGGCTCAGCTGTGGTACCATTTGCAGGATTTATATGATGGTATTTTGAGTCATCACTTACTCCACCTAGTTAAACATCTGGCTGCTGTCAAATTGTCAAAGTATGCCGAGCTGGAATGCACCTGCTTACAATACCAACTATTTCTTAACATCATTGGTATTGCAGGAATGCTTAGGAGCCTTCATCATGAAGCCACCACTGAGAGGTTACCCAGGCTGGCCAAGCAGCACCTCTGCAGCATTTTGCTGTGCATGGGGGGCAGGAGCAAGCACCAAGGGGCTGCAGGAGCCATCACCCCAGTCAGCACAGGGCTGCCTCCTCCCCACTAGATCACCTACTCTGCACACCAGGAGGCACTGGGTGGGCAGCCCTTCAGAGCCCTGTGTTTGGGTTTTATCCCACAGTTTAGCTGCAGAACCAATATCAAGTGTAAAATACACACCCTCAGCATGCTCAGCATCCTGAAGCACCAGGTGAGAGCTGAACCACCTCTCTTCAGTGCACCCAGTCCTCAGCCTCCCTGCCACAGCTGCTCACACAAACAGCTGTAGTGGACTCTGAAGCTGGCTTGGAAGTGGACACATAGCCTGTTTTTATACTAAATGCATTACAGTTATTTTAACAGCCCTGTTCTAGTCTGATTCAAACAGCAGGAAACCTTAGCTTGCCTCTCCACTCTCCTTACTAGAAGCCTCAATTTGTACTTGATGAGATGACTTGTTTTTCTCTCAGCTGATCACTGTCATATGCCTAACGAAATGTGTCAAGCAAAGTATTAGAGGGGATTCATAAATGCTAAACCTCTAAGAGGCTTAGGAGTGAGAAACATAATTGAGTGTCACTGCTGGAGGCAGAAGAGTTGTTTAGGAATTCTGATAAGCATCAATTCAGCAGATATTAATTTTTATGCTGGTTAATCAGAAACAGGAAGCTTCAGGAAATAGAAATGCTTCTCTGTCTTTATACTCATTCACCATGGGGTTGAGGAACCACCATAGGGTAAAGAAATCACCACACCAGCACAGATTAGCAGCTGAAGTGTTTCAGCACCCTGTCCTGAACAGTACAAGCTGCTGATCTAAACAGTGATCAGAAATGGATGTTTCTGCAATAGATACAAAATTGCAGAAGTATAATTTTGTAAAACTTTACATAAGTAACATAACAGGGGAAACACTTTCCTAACTTAGAAGCCAATCTCCAATAAATCAGCTTGTGGTGGACTACCTTTGCATTACCAAAATATTCCTATAACTGAAATACTAAAACCTCTCTTCCTCCTCCATGCAGAATCAGGCAAATTCAATTCCCCAGACCCTTTTTTATCCCTCACAGACTCTCAACTCAAAACTCTTCCTTAACCCTATAGGTGTCATTTAAAAGGGTCTCATCCCTCACAGGTCCCTTCCTCTGATGAAATTGTACGCTGACTTCCAGATGATCTCTGATCATTTTTGGTCAAAAGCCTTAGAATTCTACTGTCAGCACATACCTCAGACGCGTTATCTCCTATCGCAGTGGCTGATACCTTTTCAGCCACATTATTTGCTATCACTGCCTACTTCTTCCTTTCAGTGGTGACCAAGGAGTTATGGCAGAAAAATACTGCAAATTGGTAAGGTTTGGTCTCCCTTCCAGAAGGAGCCTGTGTCTGAAGCCTGAGCCCTCAGACAGATCCACTCTGGTGTCCCCTGAGCTGGCAGCAGCACTAATCCCTGGGGCTGCTCTTTGTTATTTCTATTCCCAGAACAATGTGCACACTCTTCAAGAGCCAGAACTTCTTCCCCTGCACTCTCCTCAGCATCAAAGCAAAAGCACATTTTGCACCAAGTACCCAGCTAGACAGTCCCACTTCATTACTTTCCTGCTGAGCTCTTGCTGGCTACCTGCAGGTAAATCCAGCCTGTATTTAATCTCTAAACTTGAAGGGATATTTCTTGTTTATTTTCATACTGGCCTTGACTGCAATATTTCATATCCAGGTACCTGCTGTGTCCCCAGTCTGAAAACTGACTTCTCACAGAAATGTGTCAAAAGTTCTGCACAGCATCAGGAAGACACCTGAGCACAGCAATACAGATACCTGGTGGAGGCATTTCCTCTGCTGCCCTGATCCAGTTAACCAGCAATCACATTACCTTGCTCCTTCAATACCTCTGGGCTCACTTCAATTCACTTTGGTCTCTCTGAACCTGGCACTATTGTATCTGCTGCTGTAAGATCCTCTCCAAAAGACAGCTTGATTTGAAAAAGGGCTAAACATCTTTAACTCCTATTTCATCACTGGAAACATACTTTTGGTCAAAACACATCTAGAGTCAGAGTGATCACTGCAGCACTAATAATTAACAATTGGATGCAGGCTTCCAGTGAACCATCTGAATGGAGGGAGGATAAAGTAGTCAACAAGTACATCAGTTATCTGTCAATTTTGAACTGCTGCACTCATTAAAGGCAAAACATGCACACACACAAAAACATTCTGCACTGATAAGCTAGCAACAAATAACTTCCCTGTAGCTTCCACAAAATAAGCATCCCTTTCCTTTAGTCATTTCTTGCACTCTCCTCACTGCACCTATAGGAACCTTCAATAGCACCATCAAATCAATATGGATATGCAATCTGCATGCATTTAACTTCAAAAACAGTATTACTAACAGCTTTCTACAAGATAAATGTTTCATGTTATCAAAACAATTCATAAGACATATTGACTTTCATGACTCCTTGCTACTTTCAAAATTCTGTTCTCTGCCAGAGACAATCAAGAAAAATCTCTAAATAGGCTCATCACAGCCTTCTGTTCATTACAAAACCCCATACTTTGCAATGTCACTTTGAAGGACGAATTCTGCAGAAGTAGAGCTGGAAAACTGAATTATATTACAAGCTTAAAAAGCAAAAAGCATGCTGCCATTCATTTTAGTCACTTCCAAGCAATTTTGTTTGAATCTGCTGAAGGCAAGTTTCAGCATAAAATATGAAAGCTCAAGATCATCTAGTTACTAAGATGAATGCCTGTTAAGTCTTCAGTTGGGACTATCGCCTTCATTTATAAAAACACAATTTCTCCTCCAACAACAGAATTAGCATAAGTGTGCTTACAGTCCTGCTCACAGGATCTGCCAGCCATATCTTTCTTATTTCTATCTGAGATTGACGTCAGCAGCATTCACAACCTTTTGAGAACTCATTCTCCAGTTTCTACTTAATTTGATGTCTCAGAGCATTTATATGACTCACAAAATTTGCTGTTTGCAGCTTCAGGGCACAAAGATGGAAAGAAATCCAAAGAGAGAAAAAAAAGATTGCATTTAGTGTAGTAAAATAATAGTAAGGAGGAAGAGACAGGTAAAATATAGTCAGGTGCTATTTTTGGCAATGGTTGTTTAGTAAAGGAAGTACAATTTTGCCTTTCATTACTCAATAAAACAAAGAAACACAATTTTCTGTTCCATTCATTACTCAGAGTGAATGAAGAGATCAATTATAAGAGCAAAGCTAAAGTTACAGGGTTTTATAGCTACCTGTGGGAGCTGAGTGACACTTTGGGACTGCTCAAGCCAAGAACCAAGGCACCAAGACTCCCAAGAGAGGACACTTCTTTACACAGGACACACTCCTGACTCTGGAAGAGAGCTTCTCTGGGGTCAGAAGGCCCTGCTAGAAATTGCTCCAATTCAAATTCAAAGGGTTGCTTGTGTTGGGCAGAACTGTAAAACTCGGGAAGAGCTCATTTTTTAGGAGTAGGAAGTAATCACCAATGCCAGTACAGATTTCATTCCTGAAAACCCCTGACCCTTCCTCTGCACACACACAGCTGCTCCACATCCTCTGGATGAAGGGAAGACCAATTAATTTGGGGAGCTGGAATCCTGACTGCACCTCACAGGGAGACAAGTACTGGAAAAGCTTCCATTCTCTCAGGTGAGGGATTCTAGTTGTAAGCCTGGGTCTTTCTTAGCTCCTTCTCAGTGAAAAAATGAACTATCCCTCCTGTTCTGAAGAGAGAACACTAGTTATATGAATCTCTCAAGCCTTGACACACTGACAAAATACTAATCTCTTTGTTATTAATCAAGAATTTAATAGATGAGATCTTAAAATTAATATGTCTTGGGAATCTTTTCATTTAAAAAATGAAGATCCAATGAGTCACAGCTGCAAAAGTCACTCAGCATCTCCCTTTGAGAGATTATTTTGAACAAGTACTTTATTGAGCAGACAGATTTTAGCAGAACACAGCAGAATCAACTGTGGCATGAGGGCAATTAAGCCTTTATAATTTTTTTTTTTAATATCTGTAAAATAAGGAGACAAGAAGTGAAAGATCTCCTACTTCTCCTATTTCCTGATAACAGTCCCAGAGTAGTTAGCAAATCTGATAATCTGTATTTCTTCTCAGTTTCTTTCACAAAAAAATATAGTAAGAAAAGAAATCAATGCTACAATTTTTCTTGGCCACATAGGCTATAGCTTAAAAAAAACAAAAAGGAGAGAAAAGATAAAGAGGGCTGTTGTATGGATTCTGACATTATGACCAACTCAACAAATATCACCTCTTCTCTGCCTTTGTATTAGGTGTTAAAAAGCAATTTGGTTTTGTATTTGGTTTCTGGTTGGGTTGCTGAGTTGTTTTTTTCATCATCAAACTGACTGCACTGTCTCTCATAGCTATAGGGTAATACAACATTACTTGGATGATGCATTCTCAGGCAGAATAAACAGCTGCCATAACAGGGACTTGAAAACTCTGAAGATTCCAGCTGGAGTAAAATGGATGCACATGTTTGATACTTTCAGGACCAGAGTGAATAAACACCTTGCACACAGATAATGGAAAATAAAGCTATTCATTTCCTTCTGTTTGAGCACTGGGGGTTTGTAAATGCTAAGGCAGGTGGCTACTTTGCCATCACTTAGCAACATCAGGTTTTGACACACAACTGCTTCCTGGTCTCCCAGCCAGGTGGGCAAGGGAGGATTCCCAAAGCCCCTGCTGCAGATGGGAGAACTGACAAATCACTCTGAGCTGAGGCTGCACTGATGCAAAGGTGCTGCTGTGTCCAACTTTCAGCCATATTCTGCAAGTTCCACTCACTCAGGTGGAATTTCATGTTAAAGCAATAAATATCCTGTAGACCAAGACCACTTCCAGATTCAGGTGAAAGATTACTGAAGTCACAGTTTTCCCATGACAATGGTGTACTTTTACTGAATTTGTTCCCTTTAGATTTCTTGCAGTCTCTTGAACATTAAGTAGCTCCTATACATATTTATGGCAGAATTTTAGCAGAAAAACTGAAGTAATTTCAAACATTTCCAAGACCTCAGAACAATGGCCACAACTTTGAACATGCTACTATGGCATGTGCAACTCAGAAGAGTAGAAAGTACACACAAAATCTGCACTTTATGCAGATTCTCCCCTTGCAAGAGTTTGATTTTCCCTAAAATCATTAACCAGTGCAAGTGGAAAGAAATTATTAATCTTCTGCTTCCAATTCCCCAAAAATTCAAGAGGGAGTAAGCGGTTCTCACAGATTTACCTCATTTAATATCTTTGCAGTAGTGATTCTTCCTGCATGCTATTTTCAAGATGAAGGGCATTCTTCTAAAAGAGAAGATAATTTTTAGCTAGGATAAGGCACCTTAAACAGGTATGGATTTGCAGCAGTTACATAATTATACTACAGCAGTCAGAATGATAATCAGTGCAGAAATACTGCTCATCTGAAGCTCTGAGTTCCCATAATCAGCCAAACCATTCAAGTGCCTTCTGTGCTTCACTCTCACACTTAGGAAAACAACCTAGGGAGGGGTTTGGTGAGGAAGGGTGTATAATAACAGGCTGAAGAACTTTGCCAAATGCAAAGCCCCTTCCACATCTCAGGAAGCCCAGACACCAACCACTCCCAGGAGGGCTGGAATCTACCTGGAGTTCACACAGACTGACACTTCTGCAATGGCAATTCCACCTCTCCAGCCCTCCTGGGATTGCTGCTCAGGGCCCACTCCTTGCTGCTTGCAAGCCAGCATTTATAGCACTGCTCTTTGGTGCTGTTTTCCACTGTAATTAATGTATTCATTACAGGCACTGTGGTTTTTCTTGTCGTGGTCCTACTTCAGTTCTGCACAAGTTTTGTCCCAGTTTTTACTGCACTCACTTGCTCCCTTTAGGACACATCAGCACTGCACAGTGGAGTTATCTGCACAGGCCCTCACCTGCAGAGGCAGGACTCCAGAGTGGAGGTGGAGGAGCCACAGCAGAGTCAGCTGTAGCTGTGCTTTAGCTAAGCCAGCCTTGCTGCGAGCCCCATCATGCTGCACTGAGCACAACCTTCCTTCAGACAACTTCACCTCAGTGTCTTACCACACTGCTCTCACAATGCTGGTGGTTCTACAACCCAGTGAGGGCCAGGAGAGGGTAACAGATGCATAGAAGTTATTATGGTCCATCATTCCACTCTTGTACATGAAAGACTTGAAAAAATGCATTTCTTAATTACCCTTGTTTGGTGCAACTTTCCGGTGTTATTATTCCATGTAATTAAGTGATGCACCTGTGTGCATCAGAGTATTTCTTCTGTAAAAAGCAAACAAGAATTCCTCACTTTTCCCCAGCTCTACTTGCTCACTCTTAGGCACAACTCTGTGATTTTAAATGTTATGACGGTAGTCTGCAAAAACTCGCCCTGCAGTAAGTGCAAAAGTGCTTACAAAGGTGCTCTCTAACCTTTTCAAGAGCAAGCCAGGGTGCACAACACAAAGAGGAAACAATTGGAAAAGTAGCTCAGCCTTACAGAAATGTGTACAGCTTGAGGTTAAACTGCAGAGCAAGAAAGCAATTTAGCACTAGGTGGTAATTCCAATGAAAACAAATTTTTTAGCCTTTTAGAGTTAAAAATCCAAGACACACTTGATGGGAGTTATTTCTCTTTCTTCCCTCAATAAAAAAGACTTGCATTCCTTGGTAAAGGACTTCACCTGGACTTATCAAAGCTGACTCATGCCAGTCTACCACAATTTGGCACTTGGAGCACTTGCTTCCTTTCAGAACTGGGCAGGCTTGGTGCCCGCTGGCAGCCAGCAGAGCAGGATGCAGTTACCATGGCACTGGAACACGCAGCAGCTTCACAACTGCCAGGCGGCAGCGCCGACCCAGGGACGCACCGAGGGGAAGCAGCAGGTGAACCTTTGAATAAGCACATGCAAAAGCAAAAACAGCAGTAGGGTGAGTGTTCTGCCTCGTAAACATCCTATGCACAGGGCCCCTGCATGTTCTGTTTTATTGCTCTGGCTGTAAGGAAGGCGGAGGGACAGTAAAACCTGGTAGCACCAGGAGCATCTGTGCAAACACGGATCCACAGCCGCAGCTCTCTCGCCGTGACTTTACCCTCTAGCGCTGCTGCAGATGTCTGGATGAGTTTGTCAGAAAGACAAACCAGCCAGAAACTGGCTGAGAAAATACCACCATCGAGCCTTCTTTGAGTAACACACAAAGTTCAATCACTTGAGTCATATATCACATGAAGGTACTTCAGTTAATGAAGCACAGCAGCTCATAACACAGTGTTTATCTGCTGCACTTACACCTGCTCCCCTCAAGTTTCAAACACTCCTGCCACCTCCTGTTTCAGACTCTAACACAAATTAGTGGTGAAGCAGTGACTATCTGATTAGCACAGAAATTGATGCAAACCAGAACTGGCAATACTAGAGGAATTTTCAAACAAGATGCAAGTGCACAACAGAAGCACAGGATGCCATGTGTGAGCTGAGCAGGACACTTGGGACTGGCAGCTCCATTTGGATGTAGGAACATCTTGGCCATGCTGCAAACCCAGACTGTGGCAGAAGCAGAGGAGGATACACTGGGATGCTTAGGCTACACTTTTGGGCTGCAGTGGAGTGACCCCCAGCCATAAAATGCAAGGTGCTAAGCTGCTATTGGAAGATACACCTTATCCCAAACAGGTTTTATGTTTCCTACTTTGTCACTCTCATTAGTATTTGCTGGACAGCCAGAACAGCTCACCAGAAATCTGGGTTCAGATCAGTGTCACCTGGTAAACATTACACTGCTCTGCAGATGGGAGAATCTAACCAGCAAACCATAGGCCTCCCAGTTCTCCACACTTCAGGAATGTGCTGCTTTTTTGTCCAGTTTCTGGTACTTCCCAAGAATGTTTCCTTCTGTCTGCAGAATCCAATGCCTCCAAAGCAACAGAACACAGAAAATTAGTGCTTATCTCTGGGAGCTCAGTTCACGCTGTTTAATGAATCAGATGATGTTGAACAGCTGGACAACAGAAAATAAATCACAAAGTACATGCTGCTCAATTTCTAGTTACTCCAGCTCTGCTATAGGGTACAATTTCTCACACCTGATAAACATTTTTAGGGCTTTGTATTCCCTTTTTTAGTTCTAAAATCAGCCGTTCAGGTACTCAAGTGTTGCATAAACATGACACTGCAATAGACAACACAATGCACGAAAGTTATAAATGTGAGTAAGCACAGCAGTTGTATTTTCTCATCTGACCAAATGTGACACAGTGTAAGTACATGCTCACTTGAGACAAATACTATGAGAACTCATAAATTCCACCCACTATGTTATCTCATAACTGATCACAGTGCCACACAGCATATTTAAATATAGAATATACACAGTCATTATGCAGAAGATAAAATTGCGAAAGAAAATCATAATAAGGGTGATTCTGATGAGACAAGGACAACAGGAAAGGGTTTTGAGGCATGTAAGTCTCAGACCTTATACAAAATTACTACAAAATATCTATTCTGAATTTCTGGTAAAAAAGCATTAAATGCAAAACACTGGGAGGGCAGCAATTCATTTGTCCTCTAAAAGCTTAACTGCCTCACCTCATCAAGGAAATAATTTCCCTTGAAATTTCCCATGCACAGCTTTTCCTCTACTGGACAAACAGTCAGCATCGGTCCATTTTCTGTAGGAAAGGTCCAGACCTTTGAACTACCAACAGCTCTTTATCAACAAACACACACTCAACACTGCCCCTGGATACAGCCTGGAACCTCTGAACACAACATGTTTCATTTTACTGAAATGTACAAAACAAAGCCTCCAAGGGCCCAGTAACTGCAAAGCTGGAGCACAAAGAGAGATACTACACCTGCAGTGAGAACAAATCCAGCACTGTCAGCAGGGATAACTGCAGTGGTATCAGAGCTTAGACTAAAGTTGAATTTGGCCTTCACTGTAATGCAGAGTTATAATGAGATAACAATGAGATTGAGGTGATTAACTATAAACAGAAATAAACCCTCCATGTCAACTGTTTGACTGCAAACACAGCAATGCCCTGCTCAGCAAGCTTAGGCTGTTCAATAAATTCAATAGTGAGTGGGTAACTGACCCATCAGCCAGTTTGTCTTATTTGTCAAGTTTTTATTTCTCTCCTTTGTATCACCCTTGCAACTCTAATCTTAAAGCCCATTCAAAGTGGCATGAGCACCAAGTTCTTCTCAAAGCAGAAGTATTATTACTTGAGATATAACCAAGACCTTGGAATTTAATTACAGACACTCTTACTGCATCTCTACTCCAGTCAAATATTTTGCATTGTATTTTAGCATGAGAAGCAGTGCTTTACATCAACTCACCCACAATGATTTTCATTCCTGGGACCCAGTAAGTCCCTAATGCTGCAAATAAAGCGTAATTCTTGACTCCTTTACAAAGATCAACCTGATCTTTTCACTATCATGAATTTCTCCATTTTAGTTCTTCATCTAAACAGTAAATCAGAGGATTTCACAACAACTGTGAGTCTGTAAAACTAGAATCAGGTCCATTAGTGCTCTAGAGACACCCATCACTATTACATCTATACATTTAATTATTGAACCTCATTATCTCTTTTTTTTAGAAACAAGTTTTGTGCAAGCATACAAACCTGAAGTCAGTGCTTGCAAGGAACTTAGCAAAACCATGACAGGAATAGGATGCCTTGGGAATAGATTACTCTCTCATCTGAAATGCATAATTAGCTTCTGGTTAAGTGTGCAA